ACTCTTTCATATATGGTCAAGTGACTTTTGACAAAGGTGCCAAGACCATTCACCCTTGGGAAAATGACAGTCTTCATAACAAGTGATTTTTCACAAAGACGATATAATGCAAAAATGGTATTCTTTTCAGCAAATGGTGCTGTCATGGGCATCTGCACGAGGGAAAAAAAACAAACACATGAAGAAAACATTCCCCCGCAGAGTGGTGCATTTGTTATAACTGGTGAATCTACATGGACACATCACTATCAGCATAGTTCATAGTTTACATTAGGGTTCACGCTTGGTGTTGTACATTCTGTGGATTTGGACAAGTGTATAATGATGTATTTTCATTACAGTTTTATACAGAGTGCCCTGATCCTCTGTGCTCTGCCTACTTGGCCCTCCCTACTCCTAACCTCAGCCAACCACGATCTTTTCATCTTGCAAACTACGTCTCCATAGTTTTGTCTTTTCAAAATAACATATGGTTGGAATCATACAGTATGTAGTCTTTTCAGATTCTTTTCAGTTCTCTCTTCCAGATGTCAAATATGCTGGGCACCTCACTTTGAAGGGGAAATAGGAGGTCTTGGGTTTCAGTTAGTACTAATCATGGAGAGCTTCCTTGAGGAGGTGAGGTGGTTGGGCTTATGCTAGGCACAAGGAACAAAAGAAGGATTCCAGTGGTGAAAGATTCCACCTCCCGGTCCACATGGGACCTGCCCCTTAGCTCACCTCTACAGTATCCAGGGAGACGGTCTCCAGAGAACTCGGAATACTCACATTGCTGTCACTTGGCAACCAGGACCTGGTGGCTGCAGCCACCTGCCATGCTCTTCCATCACCCTGGGCTCATGGGCTCCACACTGCCCAGGCAGCGGGTGCCCAGCTAACGAGGCACCTTCCACCTGTTTACCTTCTCTGCCACACACAGGTCTCACAGGAACAACTGAAACTCTTGGTAACAGAGGTAAGTCCACAGAAAGTGCTGGATGGATGGGCTGGGAAAGACGTGGACAACCTCCAGCCCCACAGGACCCTCCTGTTTGTTCCCATCTGTGGAGAACAATGGAGACCCTGAGGTCCAGGGTGGACAGAGCACAGTCCTGGGGACTCACAGCCTAGTGCAATAGTCAGAGCTTACCTTATTATTTCCGTATACAAATGTTAGTGCCTACTCCCATGATAGCTCCTGGGTCAGAAACTTTCAAAGACCTGGCTCACCCTTAATGGGGGAAGAGAGGTAAGCAGATGCCATAGTGTCCCACTCACACCTCAGCACTCCCTACTAAGCACCAAAAGCTGCTTTCTCTAAACTCTGCAATTCTCTGCCTGAGGGCTTGTCATGCCCCCAGAAGCAGCCCTCACTCAACCTGGGGCAGACAGGGAGTGAGGGAAACACTCAGTTCCTTTGCTCTCGATTGGGACAAACCAGGGGTGAAACCTTGGCTTGATCACATAACACCTAAGGCTTCCTTCCCTTCCCTGTCTCACTCCCCTCCTCCCTCATTGCTATTTCCTGGAATCAGGTCCCAAATAAACTGTTCAAATCCTTGTCTCACATTGGCTTCTGAGAGGACACACGCTAACAGGGATGATGATGATGTATAACAGGGAACCAAAATTCTGCGGGGTTCAAGTTATAACCAATTGTACTCAAAGCAACGGACAAACCAAGGGGGATGGGGAGCTGTCTGCCCAAGTGCAGGCAAGGGCATGAGCACACTGTCTGTGAAAACAACAAGCTTAGAGCAATAATAAAACTGATCAACAGCCAGTCTGCTTTTTATTATCACCATGAACCAGACATTTTAGTCATCTTGAATGATAAAATTCTCCTCCCCACTGAGTCTGCTAGCTCTCTCTGGCCCATGCCCGCCCTTTGGCACCACCCCCTGGCCAATGGCCCTAAGGAGAGAGGAATTAATTTGGGGCAGAGGAGTTGAAGGGAAGCCTCATTCTGGAGGCAGCATTGACCTTCTAATCACAGAGTATTGGCTGCATTGCACACGTCCAAGCCTTTGAATATGCTGTTCCCTATTTCTGGAACACCTCTTGCTCCCTATCTTCCACAACAGTTCAGTGCAATTGGGCATCTCATCCTTTAAGAAGCTCTCCATGACCCCTAACCTGAATTAGTTGCCTCCTCTGGGCTTGCACAGACCTCCAAGTGTCCCTCTGCCCTACAGTTTCCACACTGGGCTTCCTTAGTCTGGTTTGTTTTTTGTGGGGGTTTTGTGTGTGTGTGTGTGTGTGTGTTTTGTTTGTTTTTATCACTAGACAGTGAACTCCATAGTGGCAGGAACTATGGCTTGTCCATCTGGGCCTGGATCACAGTAGGCACTTAGGGATAGGGCTGCCACTGGGGGAAGGGGGCGGGGGGGCACCTTTGTGCAGTACATAGCCTGCATCACCATCCAGGGCAGCCCAGCCTATGGAGGTTTGGTTAATGATTAAGTGAATGAATTTGGTGGAATTTTCCATAACTGGTGAAAGACATCGGGGGCAGAAGAGACAGAGCAAGTAAAATCAGGGATGCCTGAAAATGCAGAGAATCTTGGTGGAAAGAGCACATAGTCTTATGCCACCCTCAGTACATCTCAGGAGTTCCACAGTCCCCAGCTGTAGCATCACCCAGAGTGTGGTCAGCACACCGGCATTCCACTCTTAGATCTGCTCATCTAGAATCTCCACAGATGAGGTGTAAGAGTCTGGGCATCCAAGGGTTACCTCAAGAACACAGAATTTTGAGAGATACATGGCCAGCTAATAAAGTGAGTGGTGGACTGCAAAAGGGTGAGTGAGACTAGCCCATTCATTCATTCACACATACATGCATGCATTCATTCATACATTCATTCAATAAGTATATATTGAGCTGGGAAGATTTGAGCTCAGGCATACCTATATCCAACACAAACATGGCCTCTGCTCCTTTTCACAGTCTAGTGGGAACACAGTCATTAAATAAACAAGCAAACAAATACCTAATGAAGTATCAGGTTATGAAAAATACTTTTCAGAAAGAAAAAAAAAGTGGTTGCATGAAAGGTTGTTTTGGATGGGTGTCAGGGAAGCCCTCTGCTGAGGCTAGAAGGAGAAGAGGGAAGGAGTCACCTAAAAGGAAGGATCCATGCAGATGTTTGGAGAAAGAGCACTGCAGGCAGTGACAGCAGTACATGCAAAGAAAGGCCAGGAGAATAGAACATGTGAAAGAGAGAGGCTGGGGAGGAGGCTACTGCAATAGTCCAAGCATGAGAGGCTAGAGAATAAGATCAAGGTGGAGGTGGTCAGACTCAGAATATATTTTGAGAGTAAAGTTCACTAGCTTTGCTGTTGAAGCAAATGTGTGTGTGAGAGAAGATAGGAGTCAAGATTACAGCAACCAAGAATGCAGTGATGAGGGGAGAGCTAGAGTAGCTAATGTCAGAGAGAGGTAAGTGATGAGGGAGAGATGGGGGTGCAGATCACATGCAGGTTCCTACAGGCCATGGGGAGGACTTTATTTTTCCTTTGAGTGTGATGGGAGCCCTGCGAGTTTCAAGCATAGGTGTGGGATGTGATCTAGCGTATGTCCTAATGTAATCTATAGTTGTAGAACATAGAACAGGAGAGGGCAGTTCAGAGGCTAGTGAAGGCATCAAAATGAGAAATAATGGCTTGTAGCCAATTGCTGACTGGGATGAGAAACTAGATTTCAAGAAACCTGTTGAAGAAATAATAGGTGGTAAAAATCATGAAGGAGACAGGCAAATAACCTATTGAAGTTCAGTAGTAGATCAAGAACTTCAACTCTGTGGCAGGCACTTGGGGGAAGTGGCCTTGGGGGAAGTAGCCTTAATTCTCTGAGCTGGCTTTATCATCTGCAAAATGGAGGTGATAATGAAACAAACCTCAGAATTGTTGTTAGGGTGATGTAAAGGTTTTGGAGCAGCATCTAACACACACTAAACACTTAATAAATCCTATCCTAGCTTACGCGGTTGCCTAGTGGTTGCTTTGGCCCATTGATGGAATAGTGGGTTCGATTCCCAGTTAAGGGCACATACCTGGATTGCAGGTTTGATTCCCTGCTTTGGTCCCCGTGCATAGGGTATGCAAGCAATCCACGTGTCTCTCTCACGTTGATGTTTTTCTCTCTCCCCCTTTCCTACCCTCCATTCTCTTTAAAAATCACTGAGGGGTGGGGGGGCGAAACCAGTTTGGCTCAATGGATAGAGTGTCGGCTTGGGAACTGAAAGGTCCCGGGTTCGATTCCGGTCAAGGGCATGTACCTTGGTTGCGGGCATATCCCCAGTAGGGGATGTGCAAGAGGCAGCTGATTGATGACTCTCTCTCATCGATGTTTCTAATTCTCTATCCCTCTCCCTTCCTCTCTGTACAAAATCAATAAAATATATATATATTTTTTTAAATCAATGGGGGGGGGGGGGGACACACCCTCAAGTGAGGATTTAAAATAATAAAATGACTGACTCCTAGGAGTCAGTCAGCTCAGTCCCAATTCCATCTCTGCCACACTCACTGTATGGCTGTGTTATCTTGGTCAAATTAAACCCTTTGTACTTTTGTTTACCCATCTGTAAAATGTGGCTATAAGTAATAGCCAACCTTATATGTGTCACGAGGATTAAATAAATGAATAGAAGTAGTGAAGCATTCCGAATAATGTGGCACGTAGCAAGAAATGACTAAGAGGTAATTACTGTTAATAATATATTTTTGCCATATTTCATAACATATTCCCCCATTTAGCAATCACAGCCAGGCGGAACCTTTCAAGTGTTTCGCTCCTGTTTCCAGCCCGGACGCGCTGCAGCAGCTGCGCCGCTCTTTAGAGCTACTTCCGGCAGCCGCGCCCCCCTTACCCGAGGGCGTCTCCATTTTGGCGGTGGGTGGAAGCAGCCAGAGCGAGTGGATTATCGGTGCGGAGTCATCAGTACCCGGCGGGCCGGCCGGCTCACCGCACTCTCTCTCTCCCTCCCTCCCTCTGCCCGCAGAAGCCGGGGGCACGCATGGCGGGCTTGGAGGTCCTGTTCGCGTCGGCGGCGCCGACGATCACCTGCGCGCAGGACGCGCTGGTCTGCTTCCTGCACTGGGAGCTGGTGATGCGCGGCTACCACTGCGTGGGTGCCGGCGAACAGGTACGCCAGGGAGCCGGCTCGGAGCTAGGGTGGAGGGGCGAAGGTGTCTTCCGCCCAAACCCAGAGGACCGGAGGCCTGGTGCAGAGCTCTGCCCTTACCCTCACCCAAGTCCGGGGTTCATGACGCCATTGGTACAGCCTGCGGTCCGGGAGGTGCTCTGCTGCCCCAACTCCGCTCAGAGCACCTCACAGCACAGCTGTGTTGAAAAGCCACGGTCAGAAACTTGCTTTCAGCACAGCCTGCCAGTCTCCGAGGCCAGGACTGTGTGGGCCTGGCACCCAGACGGGTGTAGCTCCCCTGCGCACTTCCTCACCGACCTGAAGTGTCCGCTAAGTTCCTTCCCACACAGTCGGGGCCGGGGAACTGCCTTCATACTGTTCTGGGCTCCCACCGGATAGCGGGATCCAAGCACGGGTGTCGTCCGGGTGAGCTTGGACCTACTCAGCCCTTGTCAAGGGTCCTTTCTTCAGGCCTCAGCCTGGGCCAAGAGAGCTCACACCCTCCATCCTTTGCAGACCACTCGCTGCTGTCGTCCCCAGCTCAGACTCTGGAAAACAAGCACCTCACACACGTGCACACATACCCCCTGCGTATGTGGGCCAGAGAAGGTTTCCTCCCCACAGCTGTACCCTCAGCTGCCTGCGGAAAGGAAGGGTCGATCACACACACACAGCAAGAGCCATTTCTCCCTCCCAAATGCCTCTTCGTGGCCTATTTACCCCGTACTTCAGACCTTGGGACAAGGTAGAGACAGCCCCCACTCACAAAAGTCCTGTTTCCCCTTTCAGTGTATAGTCTGCCCAGCATCTCCTCACCTGCCCTACTTCAGCTTTCTAATCTTTAACACTCTTTCACTTCCCCTAATCATTTCATTTCCTTCTTTCCTGGGAAGTCTCCCAGGATGTGTGGGGTAACACATGGAACAGTGGGATGGGAGAGAGGAGTTAGACTTGGTCATGGCCTTGGAACTCCCCCAGTGGCCCTCAGTTCCCTGCTCCCCACACTTCTTTTCTCCTCTTTCAGATCTAACATGCCTGCCCTGCTCTCTGCCCCTTCTCCTGTACCCCACTCTCCTTATCTCCTGCCAGCTAGCTACTGCTTCTCTAACTAACACTGTCAGAACCTCTCTCCCTAGGAACTGGTGTTTGTTACAGAGGGCCTGTGTGACTCCCTCTTCTCCCCATGCTAAAAAGACATGCCAACACTGCAGATCTGCTTCCACCACTCTTCCTCTCACATCCTGTCAGCAACTCTGATTCCCATCGACAGCGTAGGTCCGTGATCGGCAAACTGCGGCTCACGAGCCACATGCGGCTCTTCGGCCCCTTGAGTGTGGCTCTTCCACAAAAATGCCATGGCCTGGGCAAGTCTATTTTGAAGAAGTGGCATTAGAAGTTTAAGTTTAAAAAATGTGGCTCTCAAAAGAAATTTCAACCGTTGTACTGTTGATATTTGGCTCTGTTGACTAGTGAGTTTGCCGACCACTGGCTTAGGTTATTGCCTCCTTCCAGCCAGCACCATCTCCTTTGCCACATACTCTGGACTCCAAACTTTTCAGGTGAAATGTGCAGAAAGAATATGATCTCATTTAATACTGACTTTAGGAAGTAAATAGAAGATCCTTAATTCCCAAAGGTCCATCCAATTCCACTCTGTTCGTTGTGCTATGCGCTGAGTTCATACAGAAAATGGTGCAGCTCCACACATCATAGGGGAGGCCAGGGAGAGTGGGAATGGCACTGCCCACTGTTCATATGACTACCTAGTGCTAAAGCGTGCATGCTCTTTGAGGGGATGGGTGCTTGTATTGCACGTCAGAGAATATCTTTGCTGCTCTTGGCCCTTTTTTTTCAACTGTCATTGGAGCTCAGGTTGCATGTGTCCTCTCACTTCTGCTGAGTCTGCTTCTTCAGAGCTGAGGCATCTTCCCTAGTAATTTATTTAAGAGAGGGTTTAATTTTCTGGCCTGGGTCCAGAAGACTCAGCAGCGACCAGTAATGTCTGCCACGCTCAGAGGATGTGTGTGTGTTGCCTATCCAGCCACCTCCTGCTCCCCACCCTTCTCTGGGTGATAAAAGAGAGAGGAAGGTCCCAAAAGTGTGTATGTTCTTGATTATATAATATATTGGCAATTAAGTAAAAAGTTAAATTGTCTTCTCTCTTCGGTTTTGACTCCTTTGGAACTGGGGAATTGTGTACATAATACTTGATTAGGAGAGCAATGCATTCACTGGCTTCAGTAAAAAGCCAATATTTGAATTTGTATTTCTTCCTTGAAGTCAGCGCCATGCCTCATAAGAGCTTTACAACTGTGTCAAGTGGCTTAGGTGGCAAAGGATAGAGATGGTCATAGACTTAGAGAATATTGTTTTGTGTTGTGAGAATCTAAAGATTATGATGAAAGAGAGAAAATGCCCAGAATGATCAGTTTGATTTCTTTGGGAGCATTTTAGCCCAGAGGCACTGGGATGAGCTCAAGACCATTAAAGAATGCATCCAGCCCCAGCAGTTTGCCTAAGGGGACAACTATATTTCCTTTCTTGGAGCCAATCTGGTGGTTCTGGATGGGAAAAATCTTCTCCACCCATAGCCAGGGCAACCAGAAGCTCTCACTACCGAATCCAGCTCTGTCCCTGACTTACCGTGACTTTGGGCAACTCTCAGGCCCTGTCAGCCCTTTCTTAGATTTTCCTCCAAGGGAAGTAAACTACACAATTGCTCTTTGGCTGCTTTCCAGTTGTAGCTTTCTGGGAGGCCTGATACTTGTTGTCAGGACCTGGAGGGCAGTTGAATGCCATATTTGGACTGATACCACTCTCTCTGCCCCACCTGTTTTTCCCACATCAAGGCTATTTTCCCCATATCAAGGCATCGCTTGGGCTGAGGAACATCAGTTCCATTGCAGTGAGAGGCATCACCTCAGTTGGCCCCAGGATTCTCTCTTATTCTGGATGCCAGAGGTTATGGGATAGTGAGCAGACTGAGTTATCTATATTCTAAGAAAAAAATTCTGATGGGTTGTTATAGATGGAGGACATATATTCAAAGGCCCTTAAAACAAAGACAGTATATTATCAAATTCTTGGCTTCCAAAATAAATATTACGTCCACAATGCCAAACATGTTCCAGGAAACTTACCCAGTTTGGACGCAGGGAGTTTCTCTTTCTCACAGAGTGGTTTGATTAGTCTCACTTTTGGTTTCCTTCACTCTCATTTCTCTGCTTCAAGCCTGGGAGTTTCCTTGTCATCCATCCAGGGTTTCAACCATGCCAGTTGCAGCATCTTGACTTTTATTTGGAGCCTCTCCCTCCATTGGATTCCTGAATACCAGGGGTGATCAAAGAGGAGAGGCCCCCAATTCTCCGCTCTTGGCTTCCCGCTGTCCGTGGGGTGTGTAAGACCTATGTTGCTGGACCTTCGTCTTTGCCCTTGTTCTGTATCTCTGGTCTCACTCTCTCGTACTATATTCTCATAAATACAGGTCTTCCCAGTCCACTTTCTCCATATTTAGCTGTATAAATACGCATGAGAAACACATAGTTTATGTGCATTTTAAAAATGTTTGCATAAATATCACCCAGCTGTAAATCTCATTTTTCCTTAACCTTTCTTTGTCATATATATGTATTTTTTACTTTTATCTGTAATGCTACAATTAGATCTAGTTTGTTCCTTCTCACTGCTATATCCTTCTCCTCTGTGAGGATATGTCTCATTTCCCCTCCGCTTTGGTGATGAACTTTCTTTGTCATGTCCTCTGTGCCTCTGTGCACAGGGTTTCTTCCAGGAGGTCATGGCATGTCAGCTCACCTCATTGCACCGAATACCCTCCAAAGTGGTTGTAAGAGTTGAAGTGGCCCCAGCACACAGTGTCTAGGGATTCCTATTCTCCTACACCCTCACAAACACCTCACAAAAAGTAGAAATACGGATAATAAGCAATCTGATGGGTGTAACCTGGTATCTCATTAATTCATCCTGTGCTTCTCTAAGTGCTAATAAGCAACCCTGTATACACTGCTAGCTGCACTTACCTTTGATTATGCATGTCTTTTGCCAGTTTTTCAAGTGGGTTCATAACTTTTATTCATTTCCAAGCATTTCCTTTATGCGCTAATTATTAATCCTTTTCATTTGTAGCCATGGCAAATACCTCATCCTAACCTGTGGCTGCCTATTTGTAGTGTTTGTTATTGAAGAGCAGCTTTAAATTATGAGTAGTCTCAAAGGCAGCACTTTTTTTCTTTTGTCGGTTTTGTTTTAAGAAATCTTTCCCCACCTGGAAGTCACTATAGAAATAGTTTGAGAACCATTTTTCAAACCCTAATGTATAAAAGGAGAGTCCTAGGGCTGCTGAAAAAGAAAAGGAAGGAAGACAGCAGAACGCTCAGTGATGCGTTTTTCACCCTCCAGGTTGGCAGAAATATTTACATTGGACAATAGCAATGTTTCTGACCACACAGAGCAACAGAAACTCTTATGCATTGCTGATGGGAGTGTAAATCAGTACCTCTTTGAGATACAGTTACACTTTATCTTATAAATTAAAAGTTCTTCCCCCAGACATACTGTGTGGAAATTTATCCACATGTGTAGCAGGAGATGTGTACAGGAATGTTCATAGCAGTTTTAGAATAGCTAAACAGATAATCTGTACACACTCCAGATATCTAGCAACAAGTGAAAGTGTAACTTGTAGGTTATTCATGCAATGGTATGCTATATAGCTGTGAACTGTAGAGCAATGGAATACTATATAGTGAATCATCTAAAGTGAAATGCATTGACATGGATGAATCGTAGTAATTACCCATGAGGGGGAGGGAGAGAGCTTCATTGGGAGTACACTACTCAAGGCATTAGCAGTATTGATGATATTCTCTCTCTTAAACTGGTGGCAGATACATAGGTGTCCATTTTATAATTCTTTTTTATCTTGCACATATGCTGTATTTCATGTGTATGAAAATGGTTCATAATTTTTGTTAAGCCACTACAGAAGTCTGGAGTGGGCACATTAGAATCTGTATTTTAGTCAATACTTTTGTGTTGTGAATAGCCCAATTCCAAACTATTAAAAGCACTACCTTAGAATTTCACAGATTTCCTTGAAATGTTGGCCTTTTTCTGGCAGAGGGATGGTGAGGAGATTATTGAAGCAAGGCAGATTCTTGACAGGTCCCGTGCTGTGTGACAAAGGTCCCAGTGCTGTGTGACAAAGGCAGGCAGAGATGAGAGAGCGGCGGGAGCGGGAGTCCAGAGACCTGGGTCCCAGAGCTCTGACTTGTGGAGGGCTTGGACATTGTCTTTCTCCTGACCTCTGTGCCCTCCTCTGTGAAGCAAGCCATGTGATTAGATTATAAGTCATTCCTGGCCGTGTTCTGAGGTTGCAACCTTCCTCCTCTCAACCCTGGTGTCTTCTCAGCCGCAGCCCAGTGATAAGAAATCGGAACTGCTGCCTGTCGGATGGAACAACAATAAAGACCTGTACGTCCTCCGCTATGAGTCGAAGGATGGGTCCAGAAAGCTCCTTGTAAAGGCTGTCCCTGTGGAGAAGAGCATGATCATCAATGCGCTGGTGAGTGTCTGAGACAAGGAGGGATCTGGTGATGAGAGTAGATGTGGTGAAACCCATTTAACTGTATGGATGAAGAGTCCTAAATATTTGTGAAGCCTTTACCCATTGATCCTACTTCTGGAATTTTATTCTGAGGCAAGAACTCTAAAGATAGAAAAGCTTTGTGCTCAAAGATTTTCACCACTGGTGGTGGAGGGGCACAGGGGGCTTTCCATCACAGGGGAATGGTTAAGTCAATTAAGATAAATCCATTTGGTGACAACCTGGGAGGAAAAACCGAAGCCCCTGAGGGATACTTTTAGTTCTTTAGCTAAGCTGCTCTTCTTGCCACCTTGGAGCCTTATATCTCCTGTTTCCGGTGCTGGGAAGCTCTTCCTGTGAGTGCCTCACATGCTTACACACCCTTCATCCTTTCTTTTCCGGGCCTGCACCCTCTTTCAGTTCATTCCCTCAAAAAGCTCAGTCCTGACTCCTTACTCTCACCTGCCAGAAATATCTAAAATGTACTTCTCTCCTTCATCATTTCATTTTCCTGCCTGGTACCTCAGTGTATACTTATTTATGCTTTGGGTTTATGTTTGTATTTTATCGCTGGACAGTGAGCACCATGAGGGCAGTGATTTTCTTTTTGTTCTGATTGCGTGTGTTCATGAAAAAGTATGTTGTGGAGGTCTTTACATAGGAATGCATAGAGATATACAGTACCTTATTCATTAATTTCCTATGCCATATTCCATAATGCCATAATTTATTCATCCCTTCCTCTTTTGATGAGCACTTAGATCTTGTATCAGACAAGGTTCTTAGTTTCAAACAACAAAATCCCCTCAGGTTAGTTTAAACAGATTGGGTTTGTTGAAGAATTGGGATAGTTCCTTGAATTATTGGAAGGGCTAGAAAATAGGTTCAAATCTGGGCTCCAGGATAGTGCCCCAAACCATGCTGTTGAAACCACTGCTGTGGCCACCACAAGGATGCTAGGGACTGGCCAGTACTGCCAGCCTGATGCTCCTTCTCATGAGCCACTGATGCTGGAACCCCTCCTTAGTAAGAGGTCTGTCTCTTGCTCAGCCTGCTTCCCATGTTGCCCACGTCCATGTCCAAGTTGTGCATCTTTTTGGCTCCTCAGTTATATGCCTGTGCCCAGGCTGCAGAAGAGCCTAAGAAGTAGGTTTTCTGGGCTCTGCCTCAAAAACAAAACAAAACAAAAAAAAACACACGATATTCCTAAATCAGAGAAGTCCCCAAGCATTAGAAGGTCATTTCTTGTTTTACAAACAGTCCTTATCTATGTCTCTTTGTGCACATACATGTTTTGTTAGCCCAGAAATAGTCCATCTCTCACTTTTTATTTTCATTTTTCTAGGAATATGGCTCACAGCATGTGTCAGATTTGACCCTCAACTTGGATGATCATATCGATTCAGAAAACCTGCTTGACTTCCCCAGGTACTTCCAAGTGATAGCTTCACCTGAGAATTTGCCTAACCAGATCGGGTATAGAACCTATGACCATTCAGTGCATGGGAAAACACTCTTAACTACTGAGCACACCGGCCAGGGCCCAACTTATTTATTTAATAGACTATTTTTAGAGCAGTTTCAGGTTCACAGCAAAATTGAATATCAAGTACAGAGTTCCCATGTATTCCCTGCCCCCCCCCCCACAACGCACACACACATACATGCACAGCCTCCTTCACTAATTGCATTCCTCGCTAAGATGGTGCTTTTTTTTTTTTTTTTTTTTTAATGGATGAAACTGTACTAATGCACATTATTACCCAAGTTCCATAGTTTATTTTAGAGTTCACCCTTGGTGGTATTGTTTAGATTTATAAGAAACTGCCCAACTGTTTTCCAAAGCAACTGTACCAGTTTGCATTCCCAGAAGCAATGAATGAGAATTCCTATTGTCACATTCTTGTTAGCATTTGTTGGTATTAGTAGTTCAGATTTTGGCCATTTTAATAATTGTGTAGTGGTATCTCATTATTTGTTTTAATGTGCAGTTACCTAATGACATTTGATGTTAAGCATCTTTTCATTTGCTTATTTACCATTGGTTTATATTCTTTGGTGAGGCTCTTCAGTCTTCAGCCAATTTTTACATTGTTTTCTATTGTTGGGTTTCAATCCTTTATATATTTTGGATAACAGTCTTTTATCATATAGTATGTGTTTTGCAAATATTTTTTCCTAGTCTTGTCTTCTCATTCTCTTAATTTTTTTATTTTTAAATTTACAACCCTACAGAAAAGATGGTTGCAAAAATATTACAGTGAACACTCATATACCCATCAACTAGATTCACCAAATATTTTTAACATTTTGCCATATTTGCTTAACATTTAGATGCTTTTTTGTTCTTGAACCATCTGAGAATTATTTCCAGACTTTGTGGACCTTAACTCCTAAATATTTCAGTATTTATCTCTTTAAAAGGGCATTCTCCTATAACCTTAATACAGTTCATCACCCTCAGGAGCTGTAACATTGATACATTTGTATCATTTACTACATAGCTCATGTTCAGATTTCTGCAGTCAGCACTGCAATGTCTTTTTTAGCTAGCTGATCTTTTGTTTTGGGGTTTTTCCTATACAAACAAGATCACACCTTGCATTTATTTTCATGTCTCTTTAACTACCTTTAACCTAGTCAGTTTCTTGTACTTTTTGTGTGTGTGTGTGTGTGTATGTGGTGTTGGTATTTTTAAAGACTTGAGGTCAGTTGTGTAAAATGTTCAGATTTTTTCCCTCAAGATTGGATTGATCAGATTGTTTCCTCATCGTTCGATGTAGGATGAACATTTTCCACAAGAATACTTCATGAGGCTGTGTTCTTAGTGTTTTACATCAGGCATGTGACATCTGTCTCATAGTTGATTTTGTTCAATTGTTCACTTCGTTATGATACTATATTCCAGTTTTCTCTACAATAAAGGCATGTGTTTTTCCTTGTGTTTAATAAGTGATCTGTGGGATTATACTAGCAGACTGAATAATCTGCTTCCCACTGGTCTTTCACCCAGTGGTTTTAGCATCTATCGAAGATTCTTGCCTGAATCTATTATTATTGTGACTAGAGGCCCAGCGCACAAAATCTGTGCGGGGAGAGGGGGGTCCCTTCATCCCAGCCTGCACCCTCTCCAATTCGGGACCCCTTGGGGGATGTCTGACTGCCGGTTTAGGCCCAATCCCGGGGATCGGGCCTAAACTGGCAGTCAGACATCCCTCTCACAATCCTAGACTGCTGGCTCCTAATCACTCATCTGCCTGGTTGCCCCTAACTGCTGGCCTGATTGCCCCTGACTGCCTTTGCATGCTGGCCTGATTGCTCCTAACTACCATCCACTGCCGGCCAGGTTGCCCCCAACTGCCCCCCACCCCAGCTTACTCACCCCTCACTGCCCTCCCCCCCCCGGCCTGGTTGGCTATTACTGCCCCCCTTCCAGGCCTGGTCACCCCCAACTGTCCCCCTCTGCCAACCTGGTTGCCCCTAATTGCCCCCTCCTGCCAGCCTGGTTGCCCCACGCAGCCTGCTTATTCAGTTGTTTGGTTGTCCCTCACTAACCCCCTGCCAGCCTGGTTATAGGCAGCCATCTTGTGAGGGCATGAGGGTCAATTTGCATGTTACCTCTTTATTATATAGGACAATTATAAAATAGTAAGTTTTATTATTCTCTCTATATTTATTAGTTAGCATTTTTTTAAAAATATTTTCTATTCTTCTTGTCCCCTTTATTTTTAATTTTTAAAATATCAGTGTAACCAAAACCAGTTTGGCTCAGTGGATAGAGCGTTGACCTGCGGACTGAAAGGTCCCGTGTTTGATTCCAGTCAGGGGCATATACCTTGGTTGTGGGCACATCCCCAGTAGGGGGTGTGCAAGAGGCAGCTGATGGGTTATTCTCTCTCATCGATGTTTCTAGCTCTCTATCCCTCTCTCTTCCTCTCTATAAAATATCAATAAAATATATTTTTTTAAAAAGGTAAGATTAAAATATATATATATATATATATATATATATATATATATATATATATATATATTATTGTAGACTTATGGTTTTTTTGTTGTTGTTATTGTTTTTTGTTTGTTTTTTCAGAGTTATAGTCCATTTCTGTCATTCTTTGAATGCTCAAGTTGTTCCAGAGTTGACAGTAGGAACCTCTTCAAGCTGCTCCTTTATCCTTTTGACATGTCCTCATCCTTCTTTGAGTGTTTTCATACTTTCTGGCACAATAAGAGGTTCTAGTCTCATCTTGCACTTTCCTTGCCCCTGCCTTGAAATTAGCCATTTTTCTAAGGAATCATGATTTCTGTTCATAGAGAATATTATTTAAAAACAAAAATCTTCACCCTGAGTAGGTTCATTAAGACTAAGGATGTCATTGCTTCCAGGTCTTAGAAAATAGAGGTAGGCAGCTTTCTCCTTAAAGTTTGTTTGTCTTAAATTTCAAGCTGATACTTCTACTTTTTATCTAACTCCATGGGATTCTTATTCCATCCTTGTATCTATCTCCCTCCTGTGGTGAGAACTCTAGTGCCCAACACCACCAATATATTTACTTATTTGTTTGATCCTAAAGTATACACAAATAGTTTCTGAACTGCTATATCAGTACTCACCAAGAACAAATCTAAATGATTTCTTCCCAGGTCTTTTGTCCTTTGTGGGTATCCCACTGAGGATGTGTAAAGTCAAGAGTATTATGTTTAAAAGGTACTTAAGTTAATGCATGTTTTTCCAGTATAATGAAATTATCTGTTTAATATATAATTGGTCCTATTTACTTCCACTTTATTCCATTTAGGGACTTTTTCCCCCTTTTCAATGACCTCCTTTGGGATTTTGGAGGACCCTGGTATCACTATAATTGACAGTCATCACAACTGCCTAGAAACCCTGTTGCATTTAGTTGTATCTAATCAGCAATAACCATTTTGAATCTTCTGTACTCCTCTCAGACTTCCATACCACCTACCTCCATCATTCTGGCTACTCCTTTTGTCTCCTTCCCTCCCATACAACCTCTATGTGAGGAGAGCCCAGCTTCCATTCCTGCTTACCACCTCCCAGTCGGTTTACCACACAGCAGTCAGACCAGCCTTTTTAAAACATAGATCAAATCATGCTTAAAAACCCTTGTTTGAAATCCTTCAGTAAAATCCTTCACACATTAGGATGGCTACTATTTTTTTTTTAAAGTCAGGAAATAACAAGTATTAGTGATAATGGGGAGAAATTGGAAACCTTATACTCTATTGGTGAAAATGTAAAATGATGCAGTCACTATAGAAAGTGGTTCCTCAAAAGATTAAATTACTGTATGATCCAGTAGTTCCACTTCTGGGCATGCCCTTGGTAGAGCTGAAAGCAGGCTCTTAAAGACATATCTGTACACCTATGTTTAGAGAAGCATGATTCACAATAGTCAAAAGATAGAAGCAACATAAGTACCTATGAGTGCCTAGGACAGGTGAGTGGAAAAACAAAATGTGGTATATACGTACAATGGAATATTATTCATCTTTAAAAAGGAGGATTTCAGCATGAACCTTGAGGACATTAGGCTAAGTGAAATAAACGAGTCATAAGCCAGCCAATATTGTATGATTCCACTTATATCAGATACCTAGAGTAGTCAGATTCATAGAGACAGAAAGTAATGTAATCATTGCCAGGGGCTGGGCAAGGGCAGAATAGGGTACAGAGTTTCCGTTTTGCAAGATGAAGAGTACTGAACATGGTGGTTGTTGGTGGATTGCACAATAATGTGAATATACTTAAATACTACTGAACTGTACACTTAAATGTTATATTGATACAATGTTAAGTATTTTTTAATTGGGGGGTGGGGGAGGCTGAAAACCCTTCAGTGAATTTTCATTTCTCTGAGGATAAAGAACAAAATCCTTGATGAGGCCTAAAGCCTGTGCCTAAGCCTTCCAACCTCATCCTGTGGCACTTGCCCCTGTGTCTTAGCCATGGTGCCATGCTTCTCCCTCTTCAGAGTTCTTCCCCCTGCCAAGCATGCTCTCCCCAGCTACCTCACATAGCCAGCTCCTGTTCTTTCAGTTTCCATTTAAATGCCGGCTCCTCGGAGAAGCCTTCCCTGCCCCACCCCACGTTTGGTGTTTTGAAACAACCTTTTAAAAATGTAATAAGTGGGTATTTTATGATTAACTTTTTATAGTTGGTTTCTCCTGTTAGTGTGTGATCTCCTTGAGAGCAAGCCCTGGGTCTGTTTTGCATGTAGACCAGCAATTTTCAATCAGTGTGCCACAGGAATTTTTAAAACATGCAATAATTGACTGTTTAGTCAGACACACTGACCTTTTTTCCTTTAGATTGAAAAAAAAAAAAAAAAAACGAGCAGCATCCTGGCTGATGTGGCTCAGTTAGTTGGAGCATCATCCCCTGCAACAAAGAGTCATGGGTT